TATCAACAGCGAAGATCCGTACAGTCGAATGAGATGCCGCCGATGATGTCCAAGAGAACAAAAGCGGAACTAACTAAAGAAATGAAACAATCAAACACATTGCACAACACATTATGTTATTCAGTTGATAAACGTGAAAACACCAAGTACTTCTTTTTCCTCACACGCCCCTCCTCGAATAGTCACCTCCGGAGACTTGTCGGTAACGTCCACTCTGCTTCATATTGCGATCTACCCCATTCTTTTCGCCACAGTGTCTCGGAGTTTCACAATTTCTGGATTCCTTATCGTTCTTCTTTTCTTCACTTCGGGTTCTCCATCCGTTTTTTTTTTCGGGTTGCCCGCGTCCTTATTCTCCCTCCGTAGTTTAAATGTCGGTAGCCGTAGTGTGTTTAAAGCTGCTTGTCGCAGCTGCTCAAGAAAGATCATAAATTGCCATCCGTATAACTTATCCTCCCCTTTTCGGGGGATTACTCCCAGGCATGTGGCTCGGTGGAGTTTCGGTACTGTGTCTTCTAATGGCACATAGTGGTCTATTACCTTTGCATCAAACCCCCTAGCGGGTCCCGCTAGCATTCGCACTACTTTGGCGCAGATTTTTCGGATCCTCCCACCACTCATTCTTACGCGCTTTCTCGAAGGGTGGCGGAAAACAGTCTAGCGTTCCTCCACATTGCAGGTGCCTCTCGGCATCTGCAATGTGGAGGAATGCATGTTACGTCTTATCTGGCCCGACCTTGGCATTTTCTCCGGCCAAACTCATAGCATCGCGACGCTAGTGGGTATTTTGTTCAACTGATCGGCCAAGTCGTCGAGATGGTCATAGGCAACAAACTTTACTGAATCTTCCACGACAGCTTCCGTCACTATACGCTCGAACGCCTTCGGCAGGACCAAAATGACGGAATAGTCGGTTAGGCCTCAATAACTGGGAAAAGCAAGAAAAGAAGGAAAAATAGTATCTAGGTTTAATGGTTGATCTCGTCCCGGAAAATTTGCGGATGCACACATTGAATAAACCTACTGTACAGTAGACGTCATTTGTCTGGTCACCCGCTGTGCCGTGTGTCATTACACAAAATGAAATTCCTGATGACTGCGCACAAAGATAGACGCCTAAATCCAAATGAAGTCAATGATTTTTTGGTTTTGATAGTTTTCCTTTCGTATTCTTCGCCTGCCGCTCTTTCGGACTTTTGATCGAATTTCATTTGAGATGCTTTACGATTTTGAATGCTCAGTCAATAAGTCTTCATCAGCGATGCAACCACGAAAGTTTTTGGAAAAGGTCAAATGTTAGGACCAATTCCCCGAAATGGTCAAATGTTAGGACCAATTCCCCAATGTTAATTTGAAAGAAACTGCTTACTCCTTCAAACTAAGGTAGAAGTGCAAGAATGGCAAAACTGCTTATCAAATTTTGACAGACACCAATTTTATCTATTTGCAGCTCAGCAGTTCTCTAGCTCTATGTCCAAAGATCCGCGTTTCTACAAATTAGCTAATTAAAGCAGTAATGACATAACCACCTGGAATGCTGGCTTTAGTTGGCGTAACCTTTGATTCAACTGGCCTGGCCTCGGGAAGGCGGGGCTTTGTGGCCTAACTGAGGCCGCTCGCGCCCGCGACGCATCTGCGTCTCTCTCGCGTGCGTGCTCTCTGATCATTACCTAGCCTTGATTAGGTCACGAAGCCCTGCTTGAACAGCTGATTATCATGCAAAAACATGGATAACTGGAGTTAAAACTCCATCTGCGCTGAGAAGGGCCTGTTAGATCAAATTGACATTTTTGTAGCATATTTTTTAGCTTTATTAGTCAAAAACCTTGCGAAAGATGGCTTGTATATAAAAGCTGCTTCTACTTACTGCATGATGAGCGCTCGCTGAAAGATCTCATGCGCCCCTTATGTACTGCTGTTCGATGGCGGTACATGCGACATTGAAGGAGGTACTTCTTGCCAAAAATCTGGCCAGATTCCGGAATTTGGCTGAACCCTGGCAAGAAAGTGAGTAGGGTATACTACAATTTAGATGACTACTTATGAGCACAACTCAGATAATCCCCGGCGAACCGCGAACTCGCGCTTTCAGTTAGCGGTCCGCCAGCGATTATCGGTTGTGCTCATAAATGTAGAGCACTTCCTAGATAAGTTCTATTTAGAACTTTCCATTAAATCGCAGCAACACAAAAGATGCAGCCTAATTACTAACACTAGAATTCAAACCAGATCGATGGAGACTTACATAAGTACTACCCTACTCATCTAAAGCATGGGGTGCTAACAGGGCCCGGTGCAGATCATATGGAAGCAGGCTGGACTTCGCGAAAAAGCAAAAAAGATATCGTTTTTGTGACTAAAAAATACGACTTGTTTTTTTTTCAGTCGACTTTTATTTCTTGAGGGTTTTCTACGTTCAGGGCTGAGATTTATGGGAGACTTCGTAAAAATTTTCTTCAAGGGAAACATAGTTTTCAAGAAGCCTAGAAACGAACTCCCAGGCCCTGGGTGCTCACATTAGAGGAATAAGTGCACTTACACCACAGCCCTTCCTACTGCGCACTCCCTCACTTCAAAAGTAAGTGTATAGTTGAAATATTAATGAAAAGCGGCACAGTCGACCTTAAAGCAGCAAAAACAAACGACAAAAGGCCGCAGCCGAACGTTGTAAAAGAGAACAAATCGAAACGTTAACAAGAAAACTTTGACGCCATCTGAATTTAGGTGCCTGTCCTTGTGTATATCACGGCACCGGCTGGCTCGCTGTTGGGATTTCAACTAATTTGCACTGACACTCTGTACAGCGGGGTGGCTGTACAAATGACGTCCACTATACAGGGTGCGGCAAAAGTCTGGGAGCCTAATTTGCAGTACTGCAATTACAAAGATACTGATGGTTTTGATTTCAATTTTGGGCCACACCATGGTGCGGCCATCCTCTACAGTATACACTTTATTTGGCTGGAAATGGCTGCCACATGTCTTTGTAAGAATGGAAATTACCAAACTGTACTTTTGCAAAGCGAAAAATCAGAATTTTTGTTATTTACAATTTTTGCTGTAACTAGAGATGCTGTTAATATTTTACAAAACTTCGATGCACACAACATAGAAGAGGCTTTGCGCTATTGTATCTTAGTTTTGCTTTTGCCAGGAGCTGTTCTTGCATGAACGGGAAATAAAAGTTGCGAATGTTACCTACGTGCCAGTGAAAATCCGTATTCAAAACAAATTCAAAAGCTATAGAATGCTCAACAGGCACTGGGACCAGGGCTGTATTTTTTGCATACGTCTTCTAAATTAGAATCTATTGAAATTCGGCCATGGGAACACTTTTTATACTTTTTAAGCGATATTTCTAAGTTTTATTCGCGCAATTGTAGCCAAAATTCCGGTACGCGACGTACACATGCTTCTAATTGAAAATCCAATATTTTTATTCCTAAGCCATGCAAAAAATTCTTTTGGAAGTATGTTGTAGAAGAAAGTTTGCTCTATCACGCTGCGCATTTCCCAAGGTAAAAGAAGCAGTTGTTGTGAAGGCGTGGGGGGAATTCCATTACGACTACCTGCGTGCTATGACAGGTGGACTTGCCAAGATTTTGTAGGGCTGCGTGGAAGCCGAAAGAGGCAGTTTTGCAATTCAAGAACTGGACTGTATCTGCAATAATTCGAATTATGTGTGCGCCAAATTTTTCGTTTCTAGGTACTTCCCTTCTCGTTTTGTACGAATAAGTACTAGGCTCCCAGACTTTTGCCGCACCCTGTACACGTCAAAATGTTGTTTTGTCTGCGCGCCAATTCTCCAGTGGCCAGCACTTATCCACTGCAAAAAACCCATTTTTCTCATATTTCTGCTATGCAACATGTGGTTCTTATCTTATTAGGAAAGAGAACCGTTCGTACAGACGCTTTGAAACATGTTTGAGCTTCGGTAAATTTGTAAAGCTAATCTAACGACTTTTTCAATTGGCAAATTCTTGAAGAACACATGAGAGTCTGTTCAGCACGGACGCAAAGGAGTCAGTGTGAAACGCCGACGGTCAAATGTAAGCGACTATACGCTTCCATCAACAAACTAATCATAACTTTCCTGAATTTTGATGATGAATGCAGTGCGACATGAAAACATAAACTCATATGCCGGAATTCATCTTATTAAATCATGTCCACCAATATGTGTTGATTGAGTAGTTCTACGCGTAACCTTTAATCCAATTGGATTGGCGGCTGGAAGGCGGAGTTTTGTGACCTAGTTAGGGCCGCTCGCGCCCGCGACTTAGTCTGCTACTACCGCATGCACTCTGACCATTCTCTAGCCTTAACTAGGCCACGAAGCCTCGACTTTCAGCCGCCAATCCAGTTAAATCAAAGGGTACTGCATACTGACCTGGATATTTGTGCAAGGATTATCTGAGCTGTGCCTCGAGACAGTTTCCAAGAAAGATGGCTTAGGTTTATTAATGCTGTTCCGCATTGATAATAGGATAGCAGGTTGCGGAAACAATTATTAAGCTTGTCAATTACGTCTCCACTGTTCAGTTTTCTTTGCAGGCGATTGAGGTGTTTTATGGTTTGACTTTTGTGAAGGTACTGGCCAACTGAGCTGGTCACCGTAACTGTCAGGACTGCCAGGAATATTTTTCCTAGGAGATCTGATTGGAGATCCCGGGCTGCGAGGAGGGACTGTAAGACGATTTCCTCTAGTTTTAGGAGGTACTGGCCAACTGAGCTGGCCACCGTAACTGTCAGGACTGCCAGGAATATCTTTTCTGGGAGATCTGATTGGAGATCCCGGGCTGCGAGGAGGAACTGTAAGACGATTTCCTCCGGATTTAGGAATCTGAAGTGGATGAGGCTTGTTGTCCCTGCGCATGGCATCCACGAAGAGGATAAGCAATGCCTGAAATTGTCATGAATCACTTAGTACAATATGAACAATATAACTAGTAATCTACAATATGAACATTTTACCATGAAAAATACTCTCCAAAAAATCATCACTGATATGAGTTCGCGATTGTTCCTTGCTGAAACAAGAAATGTCTTGATTTAACAAATAATGAAAAACTAAGCAGAAAGTTTCTCCAATCACAGACAACAGAGCTGAGTTATGGTCGAATCCTTGCATAAAAAATATTTATGACACAGATTTCTTCAGTGGAACTCTATCTCGTTGATGGTGTCTAAATAATGCATAAAGCGCTATATTGCTCGTGCACTGATGAGTTTATGTGCAAATGCACATCAAAAATGCAAATTTATTTTCCCTAAGCTCTTCCTACTTATTATAAAATCGCTTTATCTCTTTCTGAATTCATGTCATCCCAACTAAGTGAAATACTGCCCATATAATCCATCCAGTATAAACAAAAGAAATTCTCTGGAGGCGGTGCCCTCGCAGATTTGAGGCATTGAGATCTTGGTGGAATACATAAGTAAGAATCTACACAGGATATAGTATTACTAGCTGGCTTACCCGGCTCCGCCGTATCCGAACCAAACTTGGCACACATACACTTCGGGCCCCGGCGGGTGTCACAGTCCACTTTTCGTTATCGATCGATTTTACCGATTTTTATCGATTTTTTTGCAGAGTACACCTACAGGGCTAGGAGTTGGCACAGGGGGGGAAGTGAGCATGGGGATTCCGAATACAATATTAGTTTTCAGGATCGTCCATTACTTTTATCGATTTTATCGATTTTTTTGTAAAGTTTGACCTGCGGGGCTGGGAGTTTGCACAGGGGTAATCGAGCATGCAGATTACGAATACAATATTAGTTTTCAGGATCGTCCATTACTTTTATCGATTTTATCGATTTTTTGAAAATTTGATCTAGGGGCTGGAATTTGGCACAGGGGTGTAATCGAGCATGCTGATCACCCCCCTTGGGGATGATCAGCATGCTCGATTACCCCCCTGTGCCAACTCCCAGCCCCCTAGCTCAAACTTTGCAAAAAAATCGATAAAATCGATAAAAGTAATCGATAATCCTGAAAACCAATATTGTATTCGGAATCCCCATGCTCGATTACCCCCCTGTGTCAACTCCCAGCCCCGTAGCTCAAACTTTGCAAAAAATCGATAAAATCGATAAAAGTAATCGATAATCCTGAAAACCAATATTGTATTCGGAATCCCCATGCTCACTTACCCCCCTTTGCCAACTCCCAGCCCTGTAGGTGAACTCCGCAAAAAAATCGATAAAAATCGATAAAATCGATATCGATCGATACGAAAAGTAGCCTATGACACCCGCCGGGGCCCGAAGTGTATGTGTGCCAAGTTTGGTCCGGATCGGTTCAGAAATGGAATTTTCTATTCGGAACATACGTACACACAGACATACAGACATACAGACATACATACAAACAGACATTCAGCTTTATATATAAGATGAATTGTAATAAGATGCCAATCTCTTGGTCATTGCGTTGTGCAGTTGATCTGTTACGAAATCACAATGACGGATGATTCACAATGTCTTGCGGCGTCTGAGCTTTTACTCAGACAGTCGAAGCGGCGGGCATATGGCGCGAGTCTGCCACTTCGCGCTCCGGAGCCCTGCCATTTTACGCATTTTTGTGCTCCGGGGCTCTCCCAAAAGTGGCGCACCTCCGGAGCAGAGATTTGCGCGTTGCGGAGAGGGGTCCCATTCATTCACCGTGACGTCACGGTGACGTCACAAACAGGACGAATGGGACCCCTCTCCGCGAACCTTTGCATTTGCCACCGCTCCGACAAAGGAAGCGCGAATTTCTGCGAAGTACAGGTGAAGACTCATGATTTGTCTGCGCAGCACGATTTCAGGAATGGGTGCAGATATTGTACTCAGCCACTTGTTCTTGTCATCGAAGACAACCTTGGAACGAGATCTGAGCATTGCTGGGTTCTCAGGAAGAAGAAACAATTTTGCTGAAATGATGCTGATATGCCGCTCGAGCAGACATATCATGCTTTGTCTTTGGAAAGAGAGTGGCCAAGCAAAGGGGCTAAGCCTAAATTGAAATCACAAATTAATGAGACGATGCGGTGCGTTACTCCTGGCAAAAGCACAAGCAAAAGCCCACTAACAAGGGAACAGTCAGAAAGAAGTGGCAAATCCTGCAACCTGCCTACCATTCGATGCAGCATTCAACACTGATTTATCTCATTTATTCAAAACGTGATTTTTCGTGCGTTGTGACTTTTACAAGCAATAAGAAGAGTGATTGAGAGGTATGCCATTAAGTCAAAAACATCCAATGAAACAAACTGTTACAGCTAGATTTAGAACATTAGGTCCCTGTAAACAATGACTTTTCACACCTTAGTTTTCACTGGTAAGAGCGACAAACTTCCGACCATAAGGGATGTCAGAAATGTCCTCGCTGTTTGGTCCAATTTTTCTCTTTTCTAAAGTTTTAGTTTTTTGTAGAGCTGGTTTCGTCTTATTGTTGGTTAATTATAGTATCTAGTTCACTAGACCCGCTGATGATTTCAATTAGCCTCTCTCTCCAAAGCTCCTACGGTAATCCTAGATAGCAAAGGCCTTTCAGTGTCTTCCCTCCACAATCAACAAAGAATGGCCAAAAATTGAAGTGGCCAATCTAAACAAGCCGCATACCTTTAGATGCAGCATAAAACGCTGAATTCGTATCTGTAGTCCATATCTGCTCAGCCCCTATATGGGCAAACTTATGAGCCGTCAAAGACCGTTATTTTGCTGAGAAATCGTGCATGCAAAACGCAGTTTTGGCAGTACAGACCATGTTCAATGCTGGGCCAAAACATGCAGCTAAGCTACTTTGAATTCTTAAAGCGTAAGGGTGAGTTGAAAGCGCAACAATGTGCTCGATTTCGCAATTTTATATACTTTTTTGTTTTTTTGATTTCTTTGCAATAAAACGACTTAAAACTTTAGCCACAAAGGCGCTAAGCTAATATGGAGTACATCGAAGTCACCGTTGCTGCAATGAATGGCAAGAGCTAGGCAGCCAATAGGCAGCTTGCACGGATTGGCTGCTTCGACTTTTAATCTCGCTCTTATCAGTATCCCATGTAATTGAACCAGCTCTACAAAATACTATCCGAAGATTGAAGGAAGACTCTAGAAAGAAGCCTAGACCAAACAATAGGGACATTTTTGAACCCTTCGTATAGTGTCAAAAATCTTGTCGCTGTTATAGTGAAAACTAAAAAGTTTTCGTCTACAGAGGCCTAATTTGCTAAACTTAGCTGTAACTGTTTGTTTCATTGGAATTCTTTGACTTATTGGCTACTTTTCAATCGCTCTTTTTATTGCTTTTATAAGTCACAGGGACAAAAATCACATTTTTTGTCCTGTGTACGGTATCATGAGGCTGTTGTGCAAGTTAGAGAAGCTATATAATCGCTTAGTAAGATACGCACAACTTGAGCAAAATTCGTAAATTCAACTTGGTCGATTACTGTTATTGCCTTTATTCATACATTATGTTATTTGATGACGTTTGAAGAGCTTGGCTTTGTTAAATCTTGATAAACACTGCGTCACTAAAACTAGTCTTTTGTCTTTCGGCGATGTGAATTCTTTAATTGCACTTGTTTGGTAACGTCAGATTTAGAAAGACTCGACATCAATAGCGGCAAAACATACCATTCTATAAAAATAGCATTGCGTCACCTTACCTTAAAGTTTAGCACTGTACTATAATGCAAGAGTCTGCCTTGCGCAATTGAATTTTTGTAATGTGGTACGCTAATTAGTCATCGTGAATAAGTATATTTCAAAAGCCCTAGCGCGTAAGAACTCGGCGCATTGACACAAAAATAAGCTAGATTTGAATCCATTCGAACTGCAGAGAAATGATTGAACAAGGAACTCGACATCAAATTGATCAGAGAAATTTCAAAACAAAGTTTCTTCTGACTTCAAAAAATTTTTAAGTGACCTCCTTCTATCCCTTCTTACCACTTTTCACTTGTCTTTTTACCTGTGCTCTAACTCACCAACAGGATAGACCATAGAAAGGTGAAAATCCCTTTTTTTACCATTTATTTCACAACAAAATCCGTACCTTTCCCATCACCTCCCCCTTCCCTTCGTGTAAGCGAAACGATGATAGAAATGTGTAATAAGAACGAACGTAATGAGAGAAAGGGAAACAGAAAGCAAGCATGGTCAACACGAACGTAATTCGCTGGGAGCGCGCTTTATCAGCATATTGCGAAGGCCAATAAAATTTTTTCAAGGGCTATAAAAAAAGCTTGAAGAAAAGATTTATGAAAGTTTTAGAGGGCCGTAAAAAGCTTGAAAAATTTCTGAAACTATTTGCTTGTATATCTTTGAGCAAAGGGTCCAAAGTTCAGCTGATTTAGAAATTGCTGAGACGGCTTTCAATGTACGTAAGTTTTTATGTGTTTTTTAACCATAACTTGACTCCTTATGCATGTGTACACCAAATTTAGTGACACTCCATCGTGTTCTGTTTGCAAACAAGGATCTGTTTATTTGTAATACAATGTTGATTTCCCGCGCTGTGTTAGAGCATGTGCCCAGCGGACTCACTCTCAGCTTGTTAGAACTGCCTGTCAGGAAGGAACCTGAAATAAAATCAAAATACTATGATGATAGTTTTGTAACAAACTGGAATGTCAATACATAACGTTTGCAAATTTTTTACCTTGTTCGCCTTGTTCTCTACAAACGACACCTTCTGTTTTACTCCGAAACAACATATAGCTTGACACGATTCCAGCTGCGAACTCTGAGCCGAACCTTAAAGTTTTTCTGGTGTCTTCACTAATACAGTCAGTCAAGACTGGGCCATTAACAGGTTTGAGCGGGCCGGACGTGTCTTAGCTGGGGGAGGGGTCGTACTAAAGAATGAATAAGTAGAGGAGGTTGTAAGCAAGTAGCGAGTTGAATACAATTGTGAAGAGCATATCTGATGACTACTACCAGTGTTTCAATCAATTCCATACATTTTCATCCTACTGTACCTACACCTGCCGTAAGTTACCAGGGCTCCACAATGTTGTGATCTCCGTAATCAGCAGTCAAATCCCATAACTTTAGAAACCATTACTTGCCACAATTAATCCACCTTCAACTGAGAAGCGTTGTTTTCAAATAGGATCAGGCGTCAAAGGCAAAAAAATTAGCTTTCTTCATACTCGCACAAAGCAATAGCTTTCACAAAACTATGCTAAAAATTTCATTTTATCAACTGATGGATTTGAAAGTGTTTCCAAAACCGCAGCCGTCGGTTTTTCACCTTGGGTGGTCCGCTCCGCTCTATGGACTACCATGTACCCAAAACAAACCAAATAAGAGCATTCATACCATGTAATTCAAGAGGCTATGCTAACAAACGACAGAAAGCTGATCTTGGAGTTTTTTTCAATGAAAAAGCAAAAAAACTGATCATCGCAGAGGACTGCGCAGGAAAATAATAACAACTTAGTGGTGTCCGCATATCAGCACATATTCTTCATACCTGTAAGTTTCTCAACACCAAATTATCCTTACTGCAGAAACTATACTGTACCCAGTAAAGATGCAGAGTTTGTATTAGTGTTATGCATACCGGGGGAAGCGAGTTGGACTTTTTGAGGTGAAACGAAAAATAATGTACGAGATGACTTGAGTAACAAAGAGGATAACAACGTTAGCACGAAGACAAAGAAGATCAAGTGTTATAAAAAATAACTTTTTGAGATTTATGCAAGCGTACATCAATATAGTTAATATACTCCGACAACTCTGTCCTTGTCATTTTTCCAGCAAAGTATCTGTCCCACAACCATTCATATTTTGAGAAACACATCGTACCTTTTGTACAAAAGTTGCGGAGTTTAGCACATCATACATTTCAATGCCTCTCAAAATAATTTTTATAAGCAACATTTTGATCCATTTGTGGAGCAATGTGCAAGCTGTGTAATTGATAGTAGACGCAGCTTATTCTTTTTCTGGGTCCTAAGTTTTCGATTCAAAGCAAGAGCCGCTTTAGCTGATCGACTGTAAGGTTCTTCTGCTTACGTGCTTTGTAAATTTCAATACGGACGATGAATAACATGTGTGACGTATTGAACATCAACGATCTTATGAGTAAGACAGTATGCAGCGTAAAGGAAATTATTCGTTCAATTTTGAGCTGCGGTAAAAGAGAGCAGAGAATGTCAATGTCCAGCGCAGGGACTTCCCAATCAACTCCAAGCTAGTATTAATTTTCGACAAGACGAACGTTTTGCTGATCAGCCCTCTCCTCTTTTCCATCCTTGGAGTAACTCTAGGCAAACTCAAGCGTTGTCCGTGTAAGATGCTCTGTAAAATGATACCTATCGGGGTAAGTGGAACATTTATAACTGCAGCTTAAATAATGAGTTTCTGTGCTTTTTCAGAATATTTTTTAAACAGAATTTTCTTCTGATCATTGCTGCAAACTTGGAGTTAAGATACAAAATTCACCATTTAGGTACGTCCTCGTGGCAAAAACCGTTCTAACAAACAGAGCTGTAAATTCGTCAACAAAAAACATTGCTATCGGACTTGCTTGCGTTCTCCTAAATGCTGAAGAAATCGTCCAAATGTCACTCTGAAAGAGGAGTAAGCTTATTGCAGATTTGCTTTGTGAAAGCATCTCATATGTTATTGAGCCTTTCGAAATGGACCAAGATATACGCAGCTACTTTGTTGTCATCTTCAGATATTAAATAAATATGTGTGTTGACTGCATTTCTTCTATTCAAATCGGTAAATGGCAGGATTTACTGAGATAATGGTTTTTGAGAGCATAACAGCCTCATAGTAACCGTTGAATCATTCATGAGCTCAAATTAGTGCTCACCACAGCATAATAGAAGTAGGGAGGGAAGGCAAAACTCTGCAGAGAAAAATGAATAATATTCATGAAAGATTTCATGCCAAAGGATGAATAAATTTGGTCTCGAACTGGCAAAATGTCCTTTTTTGAAAGAGTTAAATTTCTATGCATGATGTGGGTCCGCCAAGCTTCCTATAGATACCTAAAGGGCCGGGCGAATAGAAGCTATTTAAAACCCCGTTTTTCGATTAGTCGAGTTTTCGAATTTTATTCGAAAACCCGTCTTCTCAATTATATCTCGAATTTCGAATGCTAATGCATTCCAATGTTTTATTCGAATGATCGAATTTCTTATTCGATTCGGACCCAAGTATACAGTCCATCGTGCTTGATCTCTCAAGAAGAGAAATTTACCCTTCTTACGATTCCCACTCGTCTTGAGTTCGCTTCCTAGCCCTTACCATATCATGATGATCAGAAGATCAAAATAAGCTTCACCGCTCATCCTTCATGGCTAACACGGCTTGGCACAGGTGGCTTGTAAGCAAGCTGGATATCGTTTTTGGGACAAAAAGCAAAGGGGGTTTTGTTTCTGAGACAGAAAAGACACAAAAATTGCGAAGTTTTCTAGTCGCAAGAGGGCCTTGTCTTTTTGCATCTTTCAGCTAGCCACCTCGTGCCGAGCCCTGTATAAAAAATGTGCGCAGACACACAAACGCATAAATTTTCTGCTTTATATAAGTAGAGATTTGATATTTGATCGAAGTTTGCCATAGCATTTCTTTCGTTCGTTCCATTTCTATTTCTCCATGTAGTTATTGCGTTCTTCATTGCTATTTATCATCGTTATAATTGATAATTCGATAGTTATATGTTGCAGTGTAAGCATATCAAGAAGCTACACAGACAATGGAGGTTTTCAGCCTGCAGCCACAAAGTCACCGCCAACCCACCAAAAGCTTCGTGCCTTATCGCCTCACTGTCGCTTCCCGCTGAGGACGTAGAAGCGATCGGACTACAAATAGGCCCTGAGCGAGACGCTAAAGCTGGCAGGCGGACTGTCATAAGATTTTCAGCGGGAATGGAAAGTGGCGGCGATAAGGGTGCAACGTTTTTGGTGGGTATCGGCGGTGGCTTGTGGCTGCCGGCTGAGAGCCTTGATTGTGTGACTGGAGTCGCCAATCTTTAGGCGCCTTTTTGTAGACTGGCTCCAAAACAAATTCACAATACGGAGCCGAGCGCCGACAGCCTTGACCGTTATTGCATACCCTCGATACATAGAGCCACGTACTCTCGTAACCTTCACTTTGAGGGCTATGACGAGACACAACCTTCAACTGGAAAAAAACAGAAGTCATCCAGGTCGAAGCCCCGGATGTTATTATCCTGATTATATCGGAGCAAATGCTAATGAAGCAAATATAAGGAATAATATCTCTAGCTTATCTCGGCGAAACCGAGAATTTGCGTTTTCGTAGCCTTTTTTACCTTAAAAAGGTTTCTGTGGGATTTTCGCCAGAATTCAGGATAATATTTCTTAGTTAACCTCTCATTTGAACAAAATCGAGTTTTAGAAGTTTAGGAAAGCTGTTGGAGTTAAATAAGAACGAGAAACCGCTTAAATTTTGCGCAGAGAGTCGCGCATGAAAATGCTGGTCTATCGTTAATGAGTGATTTTCAAAAATTGGGACGTTGTCAGTTCTCCTCGTCGTGCAACGACGATCACAATGATATATAATGTTATAGGGTTTCGTTATGACCCCGCGAAGATCTACGACCAGAGCCAAATGCCCCGTCGGCTCTGGTCTGTCTCTGCTGCTCGTCTGCGTCTCCGCGCGCTGCGCGCTACCTCGCTACCCCAAACGCGGGGTGCGGGGCATTTGGCTCTGGTGACCTTTTCTTTGCTGTTTCGAACCCAATTTTAGCAAGCTATATATCATTTTGAAGCTCTTGATTTCCATTTTCACGCTGACAACGTCCCAGAACCAAATTTTTTGATTTGATCGAGAAATCCGGCAAAAACCTTGTTTTCGAAAATCTCTTCTTTCCTCCTAGTTTTTCTCCTAGTTTGACTATTTTCACGCGGTTTTTTCCATTCTATAGATCTTGCTTCTGTTCACAATGCAGACAACCACCCAGCCTTTATCTCTTCGATTATTGTGGAATTTTTTGCGAAAAATCGTAAAAAGTGCGTTTTTCTTTACCTTGTTCTGTTTCAGTGCTTTCGCATCGATTTTTTTCCAGCTTGGGCGACTGTTGCTCAGAACAATAAGCGCAACAATCCAGACAACGTCCCAGGAAACAGGAACATCAATGCGATGGTAAAAATGTAAAGGACGCATCAAAAATCAAAACCCCGTGTTGCGAATCGCTGGTCCTGGAGCGAAAACTTGCACTTTGAAAAGTCGCCAAATGAAAGATTTCAAGCCTCACTGCAGCGTTTTTATCCGGTTCTCAGCAGTTTCTTTTGCTTTTTATATCTGTTTTATGTAATCTTCTCTTCTCTGATCATCTTTAAACAACCTTCACTATTTATGACGTCAGATGTTCAAACAACCTTCACTTTTGACGCCCTTCTCTAGACTATCGAAGGTATGCGTTATTGTATTGGCTTGTTACACATCAATTAGGCGATAGCATACATCTCAAATTTCTGACAGGGTTCCAGAATATATTCCATAGAGCAAAGTAAGCTCCACAAGAAGGCATGCAAAAGTTAGCACCGGCTTCGACCCACGTAAGTTTGTGTCCAAAATTAGTTGTACTGAAGGCATGAAAACTTGGGAAAAATTCATATCTTCGTTAAAAAATCCTACGAATCTTCCACTTCTCACAGATTTTGACTACAGATGGCGACAGAAACTTGTATGTACGGTTATTTTCTTCCTTATTTAGAGATTCGAGAAAAAGAAATTTTCACGCTTATACAGAGACGAAGCCACGCTGTTTCCATTCGATTAAACGTATACTACAGGCCTTTGAAATGTAATCATAAATTTTCAGCCTTCCGCACCCTAGCCTTCGGAAAATGATTTAAGCATGGAACACCAGAATGAGGAGAGCTTTTTGGTAATTTTAAAGCATACTTTGTAAAGCCAAAAGTTTTCTGTTATACTTTTAAAGGCGCATATACAATCACACGAGTGAAGGCAGCATATCTTCGTTCTATATGCATGAAAATCTTCGTTTTCTCAATTACTAAACAATGGAAAACACTGCGACGGCACATATAAGTGCCTGACCTGAAACGTGATGTGCACAAGCAAGTGGGAGATCCTTAGGAATTTGAGCCAAGATGTAAGTTTTTCCAAGTTTTTAGAGTTAATACGACTTAGACTCTGGATGCAAACTTACGGTGAGCCAAAGCCGGCGCCAACTTTTGCCCCATCTTGTAGAGCTTATTTTGCCCAATGAAATGTTATCCTGGAGCCTTATCAAAGAAATGAAGTGTACGACCTATCGCCGTAAAAAATTAATGTGTATGACTTATGTAACAACGTAGTAAATGGAGGCTTGTAGGAAGGCAGATTTGGAGTAAGTGTTACTTCGATCACTGTCCTTTCCCTTGCTAGCGCTAATGGCTGAAAGCGAACACCATGCGATTCAACCACTGTTGGCGCGATTTAGTAAACGGTTGAACGAAAAAAATCAAAAAAAATTCTGAATAGGTCCTTAAAAATCTGAAACTTTGCGAAAAAATCGGAACTGGCAGTACTCAAGTCTTATTACTGACAATAAAGACTAAAATTTTTTTGTAAGAGGTGCCTTTACAAGAGTTATGATTTTTGATGGAAAACGCAGGGAAAAATGTGCTGAACTGTACTATCATCTCCAGAATGATAAGCATCGTGAAGACATGCAGCCGGCACGACTTAATTTGACTTTAGGAGGAACGTTCATCGAAGCCAGTACTGTCTTTGCAAATTTGGTTTCTCGAGTTCATTTCACAATGCTTAGTGCTTGTCCGGTCTTTTCTTCACCATTGTTTTTGCAATTGTTCACAAAGAGCGCTATTGCAAAGCAAATCCTTCTAATTGAAAATAGCATCAAATGAATTTGCGGAATCGAAACATCACAATCAAAAAGAAACGACTTGTTAAACGACTTAGGGCCGCATGCACCAGCATCCCCGCCGGGGTGGAGATCGCAGCTTGAAAGGAGGCTTTATATTAGATATCTGGATTTCGCATTGTCTATCCGTCCATAAGTTTTCCTACTATCCTGCACTATAAAAATATTCAAAAAAAGCTTGGCGTAATGAAAATTTCGACGAACCACAAGTCGAAACTCAAATCAGACATGCTTAGCACCGTTGGGTTAGATGAGGTACTCAATTCTGAAATGTTTTTATCAGCTCTAAGGAAAGAAAATAACTTTGAGAAAGGACAGTCCTCCGCAGGAAATCATCAATATCATGCGAAACCCTAAAAGAAAACGCTGCTCCTACTACTTCTAGTTCCTTTCAGATATTTTAGATTGGAGGGCATAGGACCACTCGTGAATGGATGGACAGCGTGGCCAGATGTCTGGAGGTTCAGAGAAGCTTCATTTTAAGCGGCGATCCCCTCTCCTGCGGGAGTGTTAATGCATGCTACCCTTAGTACAGTGCTGGCCAAAACTATACGTCCACCCTGGAAATTGCCGTGGCTCACCTGCTTTTCAACGAATTGATCTGAAATTTGGTACAGCTGTGTGTTTAACAGGCCACCATAGTAACCATAACG